GTTTCGTTCCCTTATGTTTGGTTGAGCAACAAGGATCCGAGCCCCGAAGGGCGGTGGATCCAGTTGCCACGACCCATATCGCAATAAACAGGAACACCAAGATAATGGGGTTGAATTCAGACAAAGTGTAAAGTGTAAAGAAGCAAGAAGGACGTGCATTAAAGTAATCAGAATAGAACAAAAATTAACAACCGGATACAAGAAACCAAATGCAAATACGCTACTGACGGCGTGCCTGTGCCACGCCTGATACGGTCTCCAACCCTCGATGTGGACAATCCCGCGGCATCAGCCTGACCAAGTCTCTCAGTCAATTTCTTCAAGCCTCAGCGCCACGTCGGACTGGCCATCTCGCGGTTTCGCCCAACTTGGTGCAGCCACAGCCTATAATACACCGAAAAGCCGGTCAACGGGCACGCGGAAGACATGGCCTAGCCAACGGAAGCGATTAAGATTCAGTAAATATTCGAGTGCGGCGCTGGAAGGCTTCTTGTAAAAATTCAGCTGGCGGACCTCAGCCTTGTTCACCCGGTGTCTCCAACAGACGTGAGCAATACTCCGGAAGCACCTTAGGTCAAACACGACCAAACGTTTAATGTCTTCGCGGCGAATTGTCTAGGTCTCTGATCCAAACAGCAAGGCAGACCTTATCGCAGCGTTATGCACTTTACCTTGTTGTCATCTTCATAGAGGCTTGAGTCACTGGGAAGCTACACGTGCTTTGCTGATACGCGAGACAATTTCCTCTGAAGTGACCACCAAAGGTGACAGCTACCATGGTAACTGAATCGATCCATCACTTGCAGTGGGTGTTCAGAGATAGTTAGAACCGGAGGTGTGTAAGTGCAGTCTTACAACGGTACTTTGCACTGTGAAGGTGCAAAGCTCATAACCAAGCGTACAGCTCTAGGTCTCAGTCTATCCAATGCTGTTTGCATAGTCATCGCGTCGGACTCCAGAAGAGCTACGTTGTCCGCATACTCCAGGTCTGCCGGTTGGTCGCCTGTAGAGTCCGAAATCACTGAGTCATTCATGATCATTTTGATCAAAAAGCTGAAGAGGACCGAGACGTAGGAAACCTTGGCGCATCCCACTTATGGGGAACTCAGTAGACAGTTCCCCGTTGACCCTTACACAGTCTAGGGAAACACGGTAGAGGGACTTCAGAATGGAAAGAAATTTAGCTGGCACGCCCTTCATGGATAGGCGATATCACGAGCTAGCTCAGTCAACAAAGTTGAGAGCAGCTTTCAACTCAAGGAAAACCACCATAGTCGGTCGTCGGGATGTGTATCACTGTGCTAAAATTTGACAAAGAGTAAATCTGTGCTCGAAACAACTACGGCCAGGGCGGAAGCCAGTCTGGCTTTCAGTACTTCGGCCCTCACGGCGAAAAGTAAATAATCGGAGAATGATACCCGTGAGAAGATTGAATGCAACAAAACCAAGATTAATGCCTCGATGCTTTTCGTATAAAGTGCGCTAACCTTTTTTGAGCTTGGGCACCACAGTTGACAATCGCCATTCTGAAGGGATTTCTTCAGTGTCCCAAATCGTCTTATACAGGGAACCATGTCAAGTAAACAAACAGCAAGCACCATCTTTCAGCAAAGATGGAGGAAGGTCCTCCGGTAGAGGAAGATTGTTAGTTTTCAACCCGGAAAACTCATGTTGAATCTCATCCAAAGTGGGAGGTGTGGTAGCTAATTCCCACTTCGGCTCAGTTGATTCGGCGTGTGGCAATGTCGCACCAGGCCTGCAAAAATATTCTACAAAATCTTCCTCTCAACTGGCTAGTTGACGAGGCTAAGAATAGATCAACTGTCCTTCTTACGCAGCCATTGTCACATTAAGTGGTGGCTTTATCGGACCGGTGTTTCGGATGAGCTGGAATAGCACTGTGTTTCTCCATCTCACGGGCCCTTGCTATCCACCAACGTTTCCGCTAGCTGCAAAGACTCCTTGTCAGGCGTGATTTCATGGAGTTACGGACACGTCGAAACTTGCTGTTGCTGAAATAATCTGGTTAGCTGTGAAAGATCCGCTATCCTCCTCGTCATTGTTATAGTCGCAGTTGATGGGGCGTAGAGCCGTCAGTATCAAAACTTCACCGTACCAGAAATCGAATTGATCAAACGTAGTCACATGAAACAGTCGAGACAGCCGACATTGTAAAGTAAGGTGGGAGGGTGGAGGGACAGGGCGCCTCGCCTGATCGGCGACCTCATGTGCACGAACCAGTGGTGAGTGAACTTCACGGCCGATGGCGCGGGACAACGTTGTTCCTTGGCATTGAATCACCTGGTGTAACACATAGGTGGCCGGATACAAAACGATCCCCACTTTTCACGTCAGACCCAGAATGTAGCAAAGCCCAGCTACGTGTTGCCCTATTGCGGCGAGTATTCCGGCGGTTTCACTCTTCCATCTTCTCTCAGGGGCTTAACGTCTGAATTAAACTCCATGCCTAATATGTCATCCATGGCTGGAAACGCTGGCACAAGCACCACATTGCTGCACTTGAACTGAAATACGAAAGGCGATCAAACATGCAAAGTGGTTGTTCCATCTATCTTACCTAATCTTATGAAACCCTGGAAGCATACAGTGGATGGTGTCGGGGCCTACGTGGTGACATAACCATGAACTATTGGATGTTGACTAACCTCAGGCCCGATCGTCACAGGACTCTGAGACAGATTAGTGTAGCCGCTGATTAAAGTTTTTTGGTTTATCATCATTACTTCATATTGCTCCGTGCGTATTGAAATTCGAATGCTCTCCCCACCTAAGTGGTAGCCTCAACCACATTACCGATGCTCGGAAAACCTCTTATCAATGAACGATCAAACATTTACATGGTTACCATTTGACCTCTTTTGACTAGGCGTCTAGGTAACATAAACCATCGGCGTGCTCAGTTTGACTTCCGGTTGAGTTAAATAACACTTTTTTTATTTATTGATAAGGGCAGGATAATGGTGCGATGGATTTATTCCACCACATTTTGCTTACAAGTCAGGTAAATCAAGAATCAGTCCGGAAAAGCATCTGATGATCATTTCGTTCTCGTGCAAATCTCCTGTGTTGTGAATTCTCCTAATCCCCTGATGGGGATCGAATCCATGACCACTGGTGGCTTGCACCACTGAATAACAGCTTATGCCACTGAACCATGAGGAAGGATGGCCAACATTTGCTCTTCAATTCTGCCACAGGAGATGTCACCCAAGCAGCACGGGATGATGTCCAGAACTGCGGTATTGAGCACCTCCCTGAAGACTGAGTCGCGGACTTGGACAACACCGATGATATCGCCTTGCTGGGGGACGACCCGCAATCCGTCCAGAGCGCTTTGAACCGTTTAAGGATGGAGGCGTCTAAGTTTGGCTTATGCTTCACTCCGGGAAAATGTAAAATCCGATCCAGGACTGGCAGGTGCCTGAACCCGCGCTCACCCCTGCTGAACATGTTCTGGAGCAAGTCCCTTGCTTCGGTTATCTAGGGAGTTGCATCACGGCTAGTGGCGGTGTTGGAGATGAAGTCTCACAACGGACTGCAAAGAGCCGCCTTGCATTTATCAACCTGAGACACCTATGGCGTCGTCGTGATGTCAGTCACTAGCTCAAGGGCAGGGTGTACAATGCTTCCGTCCGCGCAGTACTCTTGTACGGCTGTGAGACATGGCCTATTCGCTCGGAAGACATGAGGCGACTGGCAGTCTTCGACAATCTCTGTCTACGAGGGATTGCTCGGGTGTGGTGGCAACACCACGTTAGCAACGCAGAGGTGCGAGACCGAATGCTTGGGGCGAGTAGTACCAATTTTCAGGACGTTATTCTCCGACATCGCATGCGTTGACTCGGACACGCTTTGCGCATGCCAGCCCATCACCTCCCACGTGGAATGCTCTTTGCACTCCAAGGAAACGAATGGAAAAGGTGCCGCGGTGGACAGCCGATGACGAGGAGAAGGAGCATGAAGAACGCAACCTCAAGTTTGGCGACAGTCGGACCAGTCCGTCTTCCAGGTTGGGGACCACGAGTTGCTGAATTTCAGTGGTTGGAAACATTAAATGACATGGCTTGCAACAGACTTCAGTTACGTCAATGATGTTCGGTCATGTTTATTCCCCATTTAATGCACACCATAAACTCGAGAAATAAAAGAAAAAATCCAAATGGTGTGTGTAAAACTAAAACAAAAGTTTTCCATATTTTATCGCATTTCGTGTTCCTATTTTCTCTGTTTGTTTTTTCTACCATGGTTCTGATGGCACAGTGTCTGTCAACATATTTTGAATATATATATATATATATATATATATATATATATATATATATATTGCGATAAATCCCGATCCATCCTCCATTACCATTCAGATTACTGCCCTTGCAGAGGACAGTGGTTGGCTGTCAGGTGTCTGGACTTCGATACCAGTAGCCGTGATTCCATACAGCATTTTGAAAACCGGTAGGGATAATTCCGGATTATCCATGAGCAGAGGGATTTGTTACTATTTGTTCGTTTTACAAATTATCTACCCTTCTATCCCACTGAATTTGACAATTATTTGCTTTTCCACTCACGAAAAGCTATTTTTCAGTCGTTACTATTGTTACACTTGGGTTGTATTCAGTGAACAATGAACAATGAACAATGCATTTATACGGGTTAAGAATCGTTGCTTTACAAGTCTCGTTGGATAGTTGGTGGGGACATCCACATAACAATAATGATGATAAGGATAGTAAAATAGTTAATAATTTAACTATGAACATGAGGACTTATCGCTTGCTCCGCTGTAGTCCTGCGATCCTCTTAGATTCACAGCAACCACAGTTAACAACAAATAATTCCATGGTATACTCTCCAGGTGTAGGATGGAGACGTAGTGTTAAACTACAAACCGTCTTTTAAATACTGTTAGTGTCTGTGCAGAGACGACGGATTCTGGGAGAGCATTCCATTCGAAAACTAATTAGTAGATAAAAAAGTACCTTTTCCAAAAGTGATCAATTGTACGATTTTCTCCACCAACCCAGTCTCCACTACGTGTAATTGCTCCAGACAATTGATAGAGGCCGCGTTTTTGATCAGGAGCACGATCACAGCCAAAACATCGTTGCGCAAACTGCGCGCTGCTTTCGAGTGACTCTGGGCTAGTAAGTAGAAGAGAACTTCCTGAAGCTGTTCCAGAGAAGTCTGTGGAGGAAAGGTGAGTATATATCAATATTTAGTGCAACATGGCATTCTATCACTTATGATTGAGCTAGCATTATAGACACATAGGTAAGTATGACGCCAAGCAGCGTATTGAGTCCAAACACTGCTAATGTCCTGTTTCGAATCAGCCTGGTCTTTCAGCGCGTGACTTGAGGAACCTCTTGGTAGAGATGTGTTAGGGGATTGTGATCTTACAAATAAATATATTTTGCGGGATTTAGGGGCTACTAGTCCCAGATGAGAACCAAATATCCTTCTTAGTATTGACCACTAGAACGGCTTCATGGCTCCATTGAAAGGAGTGGTGCAGTCCGGTTCGCCAACACTTTCCTCCGCCACATCGGTGTTCGGTAGTCGTTAAAAATTAGTTGAATATTGTGAGGAATCTATCCTTCAAAATAATTGCAAAATGGACTAAGCATAATGGGTATTTTAAGAGTTGGTGTGGATAAACGTTTAGTGCATCGTAAACATAAACGTCCTATGCGCATGTTATGTGGCTTTGGTTCGAGAACCTATTCAGCCAAGGCATGGGACTAAAACTTCTCCGTAAACGAAGGTTAAGCCCCATTATTCATTTAAGTAGTACCGAGGAGCGATGTGCAATTTTGTATGTTGCAGTTCATCTTGGCTGAATCGCATAGCCATCGCACACCCGAAAATCATTGAGCGGCTGTGTCATCATTTCGGAAGTGGTCAGTAATGCTTCTGACTGAATTTGGTTGTAACGAATTCAACCTCTAACACATACTATGCCTTGTAATCAACACGCTGTCCAGATTGGTCATTACGCCATAAGTTACTTGGTAGTCTCAGCTCCTTACTTGGGCGAGAGGGACCACCCTCCTCCCCGCACGGCGGTAAGGTGTACACCAATGAAAAGTGGGTAGCTAGGTTGTGTCGGTCGTTCATCCCCCGTAGCGCAGTTGTGTAGACCGCACGCTAATAACAGTAGGTCTCGAACTACGCAGGAAAAAGATCTAATGAGTATTACTGACACGTCTCTAATGGAGGGACCACGAGCCAAGCGGTGCCGGGATGTGCGGTGGCTTACTGGTAGAATCCAATTGTGAAGAATCTATTTCAAATTTAATACAATTTCGTTGTAACACGTGGTAATGGTAACCTGGTAAGACCAGCTTCGGCCGGTGGCCAAGTGGCCTGCACACCTGGTTTGCAACCATTAGGTCCCCGCTTCGAATCCGCGTAGGTGTGGGCATCCTTGCGGCATACCTAGCCGGCGCGCGACTCATGGTGGTCGCGCGGCAACGACGCGCCGTTACGGTGTACAGCTGACACATTAGCTATTTTATTTATTATTTATTATGAACACGAGGTTTATTGATCGATTTATGCAGGTTACATGCTTCACGGAACCTACGTCGCAAGTCCTGGATTATGGGAGGTGATTGATTAGCTGGTGTGTAAGAGAACAACCAATTCGCGCACAATTGACTCATACGGATGAAAGTCGTCTATGCAAGAGGAATTTCATTTCAACATTCGCTAGCTATCGTAGTTGTAGGCAACGCGATGCTTTCCTAGTTGTCGGTAGAAAGTAATGTAAGATAGAAATAAAGTCGAAGCAGTAAGTATCCGAAGAAACACAACGATGCACGGCATGGGAGGGCACACTACCGAAACCTGCCCTGATAAGCCAGGGTACTGGCTCAAATATCGAGAGGTTTCTGGTCAAAAATTGTAACTGAATCGGTTTACCAAAGGAACAGTCGTTACACTCACTAGTGGTTGAGGACTCTGAAGAAGAAACATGTTAAATGGCGGGTGCTTTTCAAACCTTTCGCTGGACCATCCATTTTGGCGAACTCTTAAACGCTTCCTGGACCCGAATACGGATTAAAGATTGTGTGAGATAGTGTTGTCAGCGTATGGCAAAGAAGAGCTTACATTTGAATGGAGTTGGGTTTTGTTGATATTAAGTGAACCTGTTACATTGCCTCTATTCGAATGAACCAACGACTTTCTTATCGTTGTTTCTTCAAGGTAATTTAAAGACAGTTCAGTCCCGCTAATCCTAAACACTGAATGGACGAGGAGGTGCACCGTTATCCAACAGAGCCACGCCACACCTCTTTATCTGCACGATGAGCTACAGAGAGAGAGAGAGAGAGAGAACGACGACCGACCTACAGCGACGGCGAAAATGCGTTGGAACACTCGCATTCAGCTGGACGAGGTAGTAGACGGAATCCTGCTACTTTGCTGTGTGAACGCCGGACGGGATTGGATACTTGACTTCTCCGTAACATAATCTGAACCATAATGCCCAGCAGCGAGGAGGTGACAATTCAGGTGGCATAGACTCCAACTCAGTGGGGGGGGGGGAGATATTGCAACAAGCGCGTGGCAAATTTGTCCTTATTCTCCGGTTGACAGTTTGCTTCCAACTGGTAGTAACGTGTGCAGCTGTGGCACCAGGTTATCACTACTTACAACGATATTTCACTTTCTATTGTTTTCAAAAGGTTATGCTACTTGATTCACGTAATCTTCATGGTAATTCGCATACAGCTTGCCGGCAATAACTCACCTCATCTCCCACTTGGTTGACCCATTCACGGACTGTTTCGGGCGAGTGTTCATGTCCGATGCAATTCAGCAAAATTCCCGTACAAAGGGACAGAAGAGGATGATGAGGTTCAAGTTTTGTGCGTATTGTGGAGCAGATCGATTTCGGTAGTCCAGCAGTGATCAGTTTTCGTGAACATGTCGCTAAAGACAAAGATTGTTTCACGAACTCATGAAGTTACCTGAATGCATAGAAAGTGTCTGCAGAATACGCAGTGTGAGTAGACGGGACTGCCGAAAATCAGTAACTGTCAACTGAAACTGAAAGCTTTAGGGTAATAGAACCGCCTGAATTACAGCTGTCAGCGAATCGACGATAGTACTGCCTTCAACCGCAGCGCGTAGGAAACTTGAGGACACTGGAAGCACCGTAGCAACTGGAAAGTAACAGGTGAGATTCTAGTGACATTTCTCTTCAGAACAAGTTATTACCAACATTCCTGGCCAAAAATTCACAATCATGCGCAAAAGCAATGTGAGAACTCAGATAAGTAGGTTATTTGCAATTAGCCGTAAGTAAGATAAGAGCGTCTAAATGCTCCCAGCGAATTTTGGTACAAATGCATAATCGTAATGAAATGTAACGGACTGCTACTGGGAGTGTGCTTACCCAGATAAACATCGTATGTTGCTCGCACTTAAAGACTACCTACTTATCCTCAAAGATCAGATACATGTAGCTGGATTGTAACCCTAAACCAGGACATTGGTATGTCCGTGAAAGTCTCTACACCTAAGCCACCGAGTCATGACACGCAATGGTTGTCACAAGGGTAAATGACTCAGACAAGGGATCGAGGCAACGACCATGTGACAAGCACATTGGTTTCAGTGATCCATTCTTACAGACTCGTCGCGTGCACGAAACTATCCGTGACAGCCGAACTAATGGAGAGGATTTGACTATAGATACATGCATATTTCGCACAAGTGACCTTTGAATGTACGTAATCTCAACAGTCTAGCAACTAGACACAGAGCCAACATAAAATCATGGTGATCAGCGGATAAGCAAGAGTCATCGAGTCATAATCATCGTGACATGCTAGTTGAAGGTGAGCAACACACTTCAACTAATATGCTGCAGGAAGGATGGAACATTTTGACAAAAAGTAGAACAAAACATTTTTAGTTTGTTTCTCACACGCCAGTTTTGCTCTTTTTTGTCATTTTAATGTTTGTAGTATTAAACATGTGAATCAATACAACACTGTACGCAATTCTTCCACTGATTCCGGTTGCGGGCCATGTCTTCAAGAGGGTTAAGCCATTGGCACTCCTCATCTTTGAGTCCCCATCCTGGAAGACGTACGGATCCAACAGCGGCTAGACACGACGTCAGCGATTTCATGTGCTGCTGCCAAGTGGAAGGCTGACCACCACGCGGTCGCCTCCAGCCAGGTCCTTGACGAGCGAATAGAGCGTGACACGGTAGACGCTCAGGTGCCATGCGTAGGACGTGACCGAGCCATCTTAACTGGCGCAACAAAACCAGCTTGTCGAAGGGAATACTCGCATTCCCCAAGATGCGACATCGAACGTCATTACTATTAACTCGATGTTGCCACCAAACACGAGCGATCCTCCTTAAGCAACCCAAGTGACCTTTCATGTACGACAATTAGGGAATGGATTTGGGAATATCGATTAATGCAGCGTCTAAGATGTAAATGAGCAAGTTTACGATTTCCCGGCAAGCCACAACGAGTACCGGTATAAGAAACTAATAAATTCTGTGACTAGCCAAGTACCGCGCCTTTTTTATCTTCTCCACTTCTCTGGCCTCATTCCGTCCCCGAAAACAGGGGAAGTCGTTAGCACATTTTTAGCAATTCAGACCATTCACACAAAAGCGTGCAATTATTCGGCCTGGGCTGATCAATAACTAGGTCGAAATAGTGTGAAAACCACCCATATTCACCCCGGGTTGATGACTCATTGAATCATTAGTGTTACATCGACGGGTAAGGTGGTGCCCCTAAAAGTGAAGACGGTACCAGCCGCATTTAAGTTTAAGAAGTCAAACTTCATGTGCCAGAATATTTGATGAAACACAGATATGAAGTAGTAGGGGGGTTCGTTGCTGTCTTGTATACATGGCTTTGTGAAAACAACCCAGAATATAAGTGTCATCAATGAGTATAAATAATCCATAATAAGTAAGTATACAGAGTCGAGACTCTTTACTAAAGCCAGATTTCTTCGGATGATAACTCGTTTAGTTTCTGTCCCCTTATCGATTAGAAGATGGCTATATTATTTGACGAGACAAGAGCCAAAGCAATTCGATGCTGAACAACCATAGATAGCAATTGACGAAAACTGACCTAAGGAAGCCTTTATTTGGTTGTGAGGAGCCACACCTCCAACAATTCTCCTAAGCATATTCAACCACTTTCAACACAATGAATTTGTAGTGCTTATATGAGCCTACCATATAGTTTGACAATAAATTAACACACATGGTTGGAGGCATCCGGATCCGGATGTGCCTGTCACAGTGGCCTCCACGGGGACAGCCACAAGAAGCCTGTACCTACGGAGGGACCATGGGTGGCTTACGCTGCAACACCCACAGCTCCATTCACACGCCCCATGTCCAGTGTAAACCTGAAGAAATAAGACCGGGAGGCATGTGGATGGGAGCCAGATTTTATCAACGGAGCCGACCCACACTCCTTCAAATTGCACAGAAGCAGCAATCTTGTCTATATATGTTGGGAATCACGCGTACCAGACGTAGACAAGGCGGTGGCTGGGCTTTAGTCCGGCTCCACACTGGATGGAACCACACTTTGAGCCTAGCACAGCCACGGATACTGTGCACCCAGTCCTCACCAGCAACGATTCACAGTTCCCTGGCGCTAGTAATCGAGGCGGAGGATGTTGGACAGGTAGGCACCTTGTCAACATTCACATCAAGCGCAACCTCACCAAGATAACAAACAACCAACATAGAATTTGTGGGAAATCAACCACGCAAAATTGACACAGAATACTCATCGGAGTAATATAATTGAACAAACCAACTTTTATCCAGATTAAAAAGACCTAGATTAAGTGTAAGTTGCTTTAGCCCAACTGCGGTGAAGAAGCATCATGAATGCAAAATCAACCTTAGCATGAGGTTGTGGAACCCAACTGTGCACTGTTGATCGATTCCTATGGGGGCCTGTTCTTTTGCATCGTCGAGAAATGAAAGATTTACTTATCGAATGCAAGCCTCATGAAGTGTTCACGCATGCGTTGAATATTTTGACATCAAATGGATCCGTGCCACAAACAGGAGAAGCCGCAATGTTGTAAAAAGATACATCCGCGATACTTATGCCTAGTCTAACTAACTTATAACCCTCGGGCGGTGAATCCGCCGAAGTAGTTACACTATATACATTCATGAATCCAGTTTGGCCAAACAAAACACTATTCCTCAAATCTAATGATAACATTTAGGTTTGACAACCAAGAGAAAGTGCGCAGCCCTGTAATGGAGTCAACACTGCTGTGTGGAAGAGACGTCACCGCTGAGTTGAAGATATAAAAAGGTTGTGTTTCACATTTTATCTCTTTATACAGAGGCTTAAATGTTAGAGAGTAGCAGAGAATTTATGGTGCTTTGGAGAAGATTTGTCGCAGTCGAACTAAGTTAGACAGATAGTACACTTCCAGGAAAACGCTAGACGGCCTTTTCATCCCATTGTGGCTCGTTAATACCGCGCATCCGCCTGATCTGAATCCATGGCCTTGCTGTGACGGGTGAGCGAGTTTACCACGGAACCATGGATGACGGCAGCGGACCGCTACGGATAATTCCTAACTTCGATAAACCAGACACAGTTTCCCTTATCATGCATGTTATTACCGTACAAAAGGCAGAGTTGGCTTCAGAGCTACGACTATCTATACAAAGCAACAGCACCAACTGAAGTGGCATGTAAGCTGTTGAGGTGACAACTAATTAGCACAGAGGCCCATATGTGGCGCGAGTCACGTTTCAGTAATAACGAGACACATCAGTTTTTACTTACCGGCAAACTGGCTGACACCATATTAGAAAAAGATTCGTTGCGGTCGAACGATCTACGATGACCAGGCTGTGCACCTGCTGCATACTTGTCGAATCACTGCTTCGATGCCATGTACCCAGACGTGGTGCTGCGATGCATGACTATACAAAACCGATTTGTATTGCACAACTTTTTGGAATTGTACTACGACTGTTTGTGTCTGGTCAAAAAAGTAATCTATGGACAGTTTCGCAAAATCGTGTAAAATGCTCAACCGAATGATTGAATCAGAGTGGTGAGTGCCTTCCTCTTGGATGAGATCTGGCGGTAGTTCACATGTGCAGTTGCGGACATTAACCGGAATAGTTTAGTCTAGAGGGCAGGGATGAGATTACATTCACTCACTCAATCTCGCTATCTAATGAGTTATTCCGTTGGTCCTTTGAAGCTGTGTGCGTGGGTGATGCACGAACATTCTAAGGATGGATATACAGCAGCTGGGCTCACATGACATCGGTAACCTCACCCAGGTTGACCTGTATCCAAACGCCATTGCACTGCCTGGCTCTTCACGAACCTGTAGGCAGGCGCGCTAACCACTATTCCCTAACTCTGTTGGCTTTGATAACTACATATGGAGCAGCCGGTGGCATTAGAATAGGCTGTCTGCTCATCTAATGTGCATTCTAGTTTCGACGTTAAAATATATTGGTAAATTCGTGTCAGTGAGTCTCCTGATGTTTTAATTGTGCATGTAAACACTACTGGGCGTCCGAAGTAGTGGGATAAATGTAGTATTTTGCAGCTTTTCGAAAATTTATTAAAAATCTGGAATAGTTTGGCAATGTACTTACGGTCGATGATAGTGGAATATTTCCAATATTGAAAAATTTAAGTTGCTCAAATACGTATCCATAACCATGATTGATGAGGAATTAAGACTTTTTGCAAGGCACTCCATACCCAATATCTTAAGCCTACCGAAAAGGTTCAGTACCATTCACTTCCGAATGATTTAAATGCTAAGGTCAGGACTTCATTCGCACAAACTTCTATAGTGAATGTTGGCCATCGTCCTGCAGATTAGCGTTAGGATCAGCAGCTACTAGAATCAACAACAGACGGCTGCCGAGAATATCATTCTGACTCTGGTGATTAACTTTTTCACAGATATAGTATATGCCAACAGCATAATGGTGTGTTCAATTTTATTAGCATCTTATGAAATGACACTTTCAACGAGCAGTTTTGCGCAAGTGGACCAGAGGTAACCAGTTAACGTCAGGCTGAAGATGCGTCTGTTGCAATTTACCATATTTATAAGGTTAGCGCAGATTTCGTAGTGTTGAATGTCACATACCCATACAGAG